ACTTCCGATTGAAATTAACAAAAAATGACGACGATACACGATAAAAGGTTTGAGGGTTTTTGTTCATATTTCGACAATGAACACGATGGTGGTTTCGGTTCGTCGAACTAAGGCCGGACGGTAAGTAGATCAGAGTTCAAAGGGGGTTGAGGGGAAAAGGAAAATGGGAAAAATCTGTAGAAACTGATCGGGGAAATGATATATTTTTCAACATATATGAAAAATGATTAAATTCAAGACTAGGTCACTGAATTTCCTGCACTTTATAAAATGGTCCGCTAACTTTGAAATTTTATAATTTAATCCTTAATTTCTTTTAAAATACCAATTAAATCCAATACTTTAAAATTACTAAAATTTAGCCCCTAAATTAAGGTGTTACACCACATAAGATTACCTCCCATCCTATAAAACGCTTTTATTGGACCTCATGTTTTATTGGGCGTGAAATGAATCAACTTTTTCAAATAAACTCATAATATTGGATAAAGATAGTAATAAATACATGAAACTCATTTTTTTTTGTAAAACACAAAGTTTGGCCTCACTTTTTGTAGAGCGCGAAGTAATCCTGCGTGGACAATTTGAGGTAATTTTTTTGTGGATAATTTGGAGTATTTTTCTATCTACTGTTGTTTGGGAGGTATTGGTCTAATAAATTAATTTATGGTTTTTTATATAATAACGCCAAGCTAAAGGCAAAAAAAATATAATGGAGAGTTAATCGTATATGATTAGGGTTGGTTATTTAATATGGATTAGACGGTTTCTGAATTGATTGAGTGTATTTTTTTATAAAAAAAAATTCAGATTGAATTGGATTAGTTTATTTTTTTTTAAATATAGTTAGGTCAAAAGTAAGTTTAAAATGAAAAATGGATTTGATATAATATTATAATTATCTTACATATATTTAAGGGTAATTATAATAATTTTTTTTCAATTATATAAAATTTTTAATTAAAATTTTATTTTACCTAATAAAAATAGATTATATATGTATATATTTAGGTCAAGACTAGTACAAGTTTTAATCTTAAATATTAGGTCCAGTGAAGATTCTCTTCAACCCAATTTGGACCGGATATAGTGGAGGATTTAAATTTTTGAATAAAATTTGAGTAGACTAAAATTCTGACACGTTGTTATGCATATATATTATTAAAGGAAAAAGATTTGTCTATATTAGTATAAAATTATAAATATATATTTTATGATTATAAATTTATGAAAATATATAAAATTTATTTAGTTGTAAAATAGTTGGCTAATTTTATTGTTTAGATTTGAGCAAATACATTTGACTAATCGGTCAAATTGCTCATTTTTATTCTTTTATATAGATTTTTTAAATCATGTGTTTTAAATTAGTTAAGAACACTTCAATTTTTTCTCCTATAGTCTCCTCTTCCTATTCTTTCTGTCGTAACCGTCTTTCGGTTGGGCCCCGGATTTGGGCTTCGACTTGAAATAATTGGGTTGGAGTCGCCACCGACCACTTTAAAACGAATTTAGGTGGGTCGGACACCATCTTACCTGATCTGCGTTGTACCAAAAATATGTCGGGTTCGGGAGTCGATTACGGTCAAGGAAGGATTAGCACCCTTGAACCGCCCTTTCGGTACCAATTAATTTACCGATTGTCTTTAATGGCGAAAATTAAAAATTTAAATTGAAATTTAAAAACCCAATTCAAACTACTTACCTTTGATCGATTGAACGAAGACCCTTAAAAAGATGAAATTGTTAGATTTGTAAAGTTGTGCAAAATCAACTTAAGATGGAAAATGCATAAATACGAAATAAATAAACAACATTAAAAAAAAATAAAAACAAATGATAAAGTAAAGGGAAATAAACAAAATAAATAGAATGATAAAATAAACAAAAATAAAATATAAAAAAAATAATAAACAAAAATAAAAAAAAACAAAGGAAAAAGTAATGGAGTTAAAATAGACAAACGTGAACAAAAATAAGATAAAAAGAAAAAAAAGTAAAGATAATATATATATATTCTAAAAAAATGAGAAATGTATATAAAAATGTAAAAAACAAATGGAAAAACCAAAAAGAAAAATAGAAGAACAAATAATAAAAAAAAAGCCAAAATGAAAAATAGTAAAATAAAACAAAAAAATAAAATATATACATAATAACAAAATTGAACCTTAAAAAACGAGAAAAATGATATATACATAACATTAATAAAACAAACAAAAGTAAAATAAAACAAAACAAAACAAAAATATATAAAAAAGGATCGAATTGAAGTAACCAGAAATCAGAGGGTTAATTTGCAAAATGCAAAAAAGCATAAACAGTGACCAAATTGAATAACTTGAAAATCCAAAGGCCAAATTGCATGTAGTGACCAGATTGTAAAGCGATTCAAACTCTTAGGGATGGCGGAAAGAGTTTAACAATCCTATAATTGCACAATGGTCCCCCGTATATAAAAGGTCCAAAAGACCAATGTTCAGTTCATTTCTCCCATTCTCAGAAATCTCATCTCTCAAAACGAGAGAAACACTCTCAGGCTCTTCCTCGGCCAATGGCCGGCCGCAACCCGACACCCCGGCCGCTGCGAGCGGCGGCCGGACAAACTGAACCTTAGTAAAATACTCCCTTTAACCCCGTACACCCAAATCCGAGACCTAAAACACCAAAACTTATCCCTACCAGCGTGGATCTAGGTGTAAAGTTTCGATTTTTACCCTTAAACCGTCGGTGTCCCTTCGTTTACCCAAGTTCTTCGGCTTTGTGGTTGGTTCTTTGATATTTTATGTGTGGCTGGGTCTTTTGTGTTTGTGTTGATGTGATATTTTTGGGGTTTTGCTTGCTTGTGTTGATGGCTTTTGTTTACTGTTGGTATCTTGGTTTGATGATGTTTCGTTCCAAAAAATGGTTCTTGGTTTTGTTGTTCTTGCGTTTGTGGTTCTTTCTCGTGTTTGATGTGTTGGTATTGTGGGTTCGTTCGTAGTTGGCCCCCCCTGTTCTCCGTTGGCCGTGGGTTTTTATAACCCCCACTGGCCGTTGTGAGTCCCGACGATCTCGGGATCGTGGTTGTTGGTTGACTGAGATCCCCGTGCATGTTGCACCGGTCACCTCGGGATGGTTCAGTCCCGTTGGTGCGGCCGGGAAATGCGCTGGCCGTTGATTGCGTTGATCTCTCGATGATGTTTGAGATTGCTTCTGCCCGTTGGATTGGGTCAGATCTAACGGTCCAGATCTGGCTGGACAGATGATATCTTAGGGTTTGTAATCCCTGATCTCTGAATGCGGCACTGTAACTTTAGGGTTTCCAGACCCTAAACATTACCGGCTGGATCAGGCCTAGTTCTCGGGCTTGTTTGGACCAGATTTGGACTACTGGACAGTTGACCCATTTGGACCTGAAAAAAATTAAAATAAAATAAGTAATAAAATATTAATAATAATAGTGATAATAAATAATAATAATAATAATAATAAATATAAAAACTATAATATATATATTTTAAAACCGTTTCTTTTAAAAATTAGATATAAATTTCCAAAAATATTTTTAAAAAATGTATAATTTTCAAAAAATATTTTTTAAAAACCATATAATTTTCAAAAATATTTTAAAAATTATATATTATATATTATATATTTTCAAAATGTTTTTTGAAAAATTATATATTATATATTTATTTTCAAAATGTTTAAAAAAACTATATAATATATATATATTTTCAAAAATGTTTTGAAAACTATATATTATATTTTTTTGTAAAAACATTTTAAACAAATTATATAATATATAAATGTTTTCAAAATGTTTTAAAAGCTATATATTATATATTTTCAAAATGTTTTCGAAAATATATAAATAAATAAATAATAAAAAGATATAAACGAAAATGAGTGTCTATACTTTCTAAGTCAGATTAAGATTAAATTTAGAATTTATATAAAAAAAAATTGGGTAAAGTACACAAATGATCCCCTAACTATATGATGTTGCTTTATTTAGTTCATCGACTATTAAAAATTACAAAATGATCTATTGGCTATAATATGTTGCTTTATTGAGTCTCTCGACTATTAAAAGTTACAAAATGATCACCTGACTACTCATTATATTTCAAACTTGTCATTTTTCTTTAAAAAATGACAATTGTTTGCGTTGGACGTTAACATATTGAATGAGATATGATAGTCGTTTGAGATTCTGATATTATATTTTATCTTATCACATTCAGTAGGTTAACATTCATCTCAGACTGCTACCAATTTTTTAACAGAAAAAGACAAGTTTGGAACATAATGAATGTCGGTTGACCATTTTATAACTTTTAATAGTCGAGAGACTCAATAAAGCAATATCCTATTAGTCAATGAATCATTTTATAATTTTTAATAGTCGAATGATTCAAAAAAATAAAATCTTAAAGTCGGAAGATACTTTATGTAAAAAAAATATTTGATACCTGCCTTTGTCATGTTATTTTCGGGTATAAATGTAATTAAAATAAAAGAGAAGGGTATTTATGGAAAAGGGAAACTATTCGGCCAGTAAAAAACCCTAGGTCTTCTCATCGTCTCCTTTAAAAGCCCTCGCTGCTCCTTCTCACTCGCCACTTTCATATGCGATACTCTGCTTTCCCTCTTTGATTCTTACCATTTTTGTTCTTTCTAATTTTATCAAACAAGCTTTCATATATATTTTTTAATTAGGCTTTCCTTGTGTTTCTCCTTTTTGTATCATTGAAAATTTGTCGATGATGATAAATGTATTATCCCAGCTCATTATGAGACCTTTCTGTAAGGTCTGGGAATTGATTCTTTATCCAACATTTATCTGAGTCTCTCTTCAATTTTCTCCTTTCTATGTATTTTAACCTCCAAAATCAACATCCTTTTGTTGAAGAATTATATGCTATCCTCTTACGTTTTTATTTCTATCAACTCCCAACACTTTCTGTTTTATATTCAAATTACTATTATTATTCATTTATTTGTGCTTGTTGAAGGTTCCCAATGATGCTTGAAACTTTCAAACCATGCTAATGCTGATAATCCAGTGATTATATTTTGATTTTTTTTTCTGAGGGAACTTCAATTTTTCTTTAACTGTTTATATTTTGCTAACAAGTACTGTACTATTTATGAAATTCGATTGATGAGAAACCTGTGAAGTTTTAGTTACCAATTAAAGAGACTAATTTGATCACTGGTTATCTTCCTAGCAAATGTTTATATTGTTATCCTTACATCTTTAGGTAAAATAATTGTTTTATTAAGAATAAGAAAAAAAAGATTTACTTTTTTTTTTGAGTTGGTTGAATTGAAATATTGAATATGATTTGATATTTAGATTAAATTGGGGGTTTGAAAGTAAATTACGCTATTGGTTACTCGGTTATAGGTAGGGATCCTTGATGAGCCTATGTTTGAACTCACTTGATCAAAATTAGATAATTGTTCGATTTAAATTAATTTGATTTTGAACACAAGTTTAATTTCTTAACTAGTTGAAATAAGTAAAATTTTTTAAGTCCACAAGTAATATATTAATTCTTTTTATATAATTTTTAGTAGCTCACAATGATTGGAGTGAATTACTGTTGATTTTTTTAATTTTTTGTATTGATTATGTGATCTTCAATTTTTTTTAAAGAATAATATCAATATGTTAGTTTGGTATATTTGTGAATTGTTAAGTTTTGACTCTTGCTTTGTTTACTGGTTTGATAGTTTTTTTATTTATTAATTTTGTTATGCTGATTTTAATTATCCATTTTGTATGATTTTGATATTTTTTATCATTTATTTGATTGTTCTTTTTTTTGTTTATTTTTAAGAGTTGAATTTGATTTTGTCTTAATTGATTAAGATGATATTTATTTGTTATTTTACTATTTTTTCTATTTTTGACCCTTGAAATTTGGATGCATGATTTACGTTTAGAGATAATTTTCTCATGATGCTTGACTTTAATCTCTTAGTAGTTTGATCTCTAATTGTGATTTATTTGTTGATGCAATCACTATTTATATTTATATTTTGTTTGAGTTTTTTTAATGAATTTTTAATCTTGTCTTAGTATGATGACTTTTGTTTGATTTTAAGTAACTAATTTTTTTATATTTATAGCTATAAAAAATATTTTAATTATGTATTTAGTGTATGTTTATATTATAAATCTTTATTTTAATTTTTTATAAATTTGAAGACTTCTAATTGTATAAAAAACTTTGTTTTAATCTACATAACATTTCGAGGTCTGTGCAACATAAGGTCTTCAACTTTTATACCTTTGGTTCAACAAATTGGACATAGCAATTCTAATAATTTCAATGTAATCAGTTCGGTCAGTTTTTTTTTTCTGTGTTGGACAAATAGCAACTTCAACACTATTCACTCTTGTATTTCAATTATTTTTCATGTTCCTAATATAATCATTAAAGATGAAATATGATCAGGCAGGCCTAACACCTAGAAGTCCACATGCAACATAAAAACTACACCTTATTCAACATTTTGCTTAATACATACATCAACACATTCACTACTAACAGCTTAACAAACCATATATTTCGAGCGCCGTGAACCCAACCATGGAGGGCTGCTGTTCAGAATTGCAGCAGCTTTATAAGATATCAACAATCGTTGACAATCACAGCCTTGAACAAACTTTCATCTTTTTGCCTTTTCTTCCTGAATCGTCATCCATTTCTAAAACACCCACTCTTTTTTTCCAATCAAAATAGTAAAATATAATTTCAAGGAATTGAAACTTGAATTTTTTTAGCTCTGATTTTGGGTTTTGATGTGAGTAAAGAAGCCAACAATCCCAACAGGATATAGATAATGTTGCTAAATATCTGCATGGTCTTTTCACTCGGGGCTCGACATTTGTAGATGGCAATACCAAACAAGAAGGCTATGACGTAATAACCAGAAAAACTATCATGCATTCAAAACACCTGCCTCAGGTAACCAGGGCAGGAAAGGGACAATCGGATTCTAAAACACAGCAAAACTTACCTTTCCAACTTATTCATGTCTGAACTTTTCTTAGTTGTGTTTGTTTCGGTAGAAAACAGAGGTTGACCACTAACAAATCATCAACCATGGGTAAAATAAACGAAGACAACAATGGATCGGGTGCTGAATTGGATGAAGATACTGTACAAGAACCACCTTTATTAGTAGAGGCGGACCCAGAAGCCTTCGTTAGGGGTTGTAAGAGCCCAGGGGTGGCATTTTTTAGGGGTGACATTTGGATTAGGGGTGACACTTGTGGAGGGATTGCTTGGGATATCCCGGGCACCATGGAGGTCCACCCCTGGATGAGGGGTTGCCTGGGATACCCCGGGCTTCATGGAGGTCCGCCCCTGTTTATTAGATTTCCTCTTGTGATGCAGGTAACCACTCGTTAAAGAAACGAAAATATATAAAGCAAATCCTTAAAACAAGGTAATGGTGACCAAGAAAGCTAGCAATGCTACTATTACTACACGAAAGGCGGAGAGAATGATGGAATCATCTTGCCTATAGACTTAAATGTCTTTCCGAGCAGCTGAGAAAAAGAAACAAAGATAACAAAATTTGCAGGTTAAAGAAGAGAACCAACAACCAAATTCTACATGTTTGGCAGACTCCAATAAAGAAAGAACTCATCGACGAAACTCATCATGAAACTTGGAGAAAAAATTCCAAAGACCATTCATTAATGACAACTCAATAAAAAAGGATATCTTAAATATATTGCCATGTTGTAGTGCTATATGCGCAACCATATCCAGCCCCACCCTCATTTCGCAGACCGGAGATACCTGCGAACCCAAAAACAACATCACAAACGTAATTTTGATTCAATAAACCCTCTTAAACATCATGTGAAAAATAAGAAACCAATATACCCTTCTTGTTTACACAAATAAATAAATATAAAGGCAGTGATGAATTTGAACAAAAAAAAGGAGAGAAATACCCCGTTCGTAGCCTCCATTGGATGTTCATCATCAATGTGACAGCAAAAGCCAACAATATCGAAACTCTGAACAAAAAGGCATTAAAATTCCTCTCTTATATCATCTTCTCCATCTATTTATTCAAACCCCATAAACACATCTGCATTTTGGACCCATTTTCAAACATTAAATCATTTTTAATTAAAGGCAAAAAATCTTCATAAAAATCTAATATTCCGTTAATAAATTTAAATCAATTTACTACATTCTCTTTCATTTTCAACCATACACAGAGAAAAGAAGATAAAATATTTATGTATTTAACCGAAAAATGGATGTACAAAAAGAAGATGAGATATTTAAAGCTTACTAGATCGTGATTGAATAGCTGATTGATATCTCTTAGAAGCTGAAGAAAGACAAACAGCCCATGAATCGGCATCCATTTCTAAAACACCCTCTTTTTTTTCCAATCAAAAGAGTAAAATATAATTTCAAGGAATTGAAACTTGAATTTTTTTAGCTCTGATTTTGGGTTTTGATGCGAGTAAAGAGGAGGATGCTAGTTAGGTATTTGGGTTTTGATGTAAGAAGGAAAGAGCCGTTTGTTGGACAGTGCGGCATTTTAATACAAGGTTGAAATAATTATTGTCGATTTTATTATCGTTTAAATAATAAAATCGATGGAAAATTATTTAAAATATTATTATTTTTATTTAAAATATTATTTTTTTAATATTTTCGGTAAAAGTGTCCAACAATAATAAAATCGATAGTCTAATAATATTTCTGGTCATTTTTATCAAATTCGATAAAACACTCAATAATAACAAAATAGATAACGCCTAATAATGTTTCTGGTCATTTTTTTATCGGTTTTGTTATTTAAACTATAACAAAATCGATAACACCTTTTTTTAACCGTATATTAAGGCTGTCACATGTGATTATTTCTTCCGTTTGTTTTATTCCTCTTGGGAGGTGAATTTCTTCGAGGAGAAAAGATTTTCTATCGATGAAGTACAAATATTTTGTAGAGTAATCTGAACCTCACTTTTTTACTATTTCACTCATTATACTTTTAATTTTATTGATTTAATCATTAAACTTTGATGTTACTTATGTCTTGATCACTCAGCCGTTAAATAATTAAAGGTGTTAGGACATAACACATGACACCAAAACGACATCATTTAAAAAAAAATTAAATTTCTAACAAAACAACTTCGTTTTGTATATATATAAAAAATCAAATTCTTCCTTCATTTCCTGCATTTTTTTATCTCTCTCATTTTCTTTAAACATGTTCAAATTTTTACTATTATTCATCACGACTAATCATCGTGTCGGCCACTGTCGATCGTCATTGACAAAAACTATAAGTTCTAAATTTTTTTACCAAACTCGTTTTGTCCTCTTGAATGTAAATTCAATGTTCATTTAATCTAAAAATTTCTTAAACTTCATGAATCTAGCGATGAATGGTTTGATTTTTTTACAATTCCAGCACTATCTCCATATTTTGACCTTTCACTGTCATATGAAGAGCAGTTTGACCCTTTTTGTCAATCCTAAAGCCAGTACTTGGATCCTTGCCGAGCAAAGATTTCACTACTTTCAAGTGCCCCATTCTTGCCGCTGAACGGCGGACGGTTTTTCCATTGTCCCTTGCAATTTTAGTAAGGTCCGAGTCTGTTTCTACAAGAAAATTGATCACCTCAATATGCCCTTGAGCAGTTGGCGGGAGGTGAGAGTGAGACGGTGGGAGGGGAGGAAGGGTGAGGGTGGGGTGCTATTGTAATTTGGGATTAGAATTTATAATTAAAATTTAATAATTTTATTTTAAATATTATATGTTATAATTAGATATTAATAAAATTACGTATCATCGTATATACTAATAAAATGAGTTACGTCATTGGGTTGTTAGTAAGAAAACATACAAATGATTAAAAAAGTCTAATATATAAAGTTGAATTATTAAATTGAAAAAATTAAAAATATAATGATTGAAATAGAAGAGAAAATAAAGTCTATTGAGTAAATTTGTAATTTACCTAATTTTCTATATTTTAGGGTAAACTACAAGAGTGATCACATACGTTTCACTTTTATACATTTTTGCTCACCAAATTAAGAAACATTAAGTTCTAGTCACTTATGTTATCATTTTATTAGTTTTGATCATTGAGACGTTGAATGTTGTTAAGTTGATGAAGTGTCATGTCAATAAAAAGATTGAATTTTCTTTTAACCCTGAAATTCAAATAAAATATTAAATTTTAGTTTTTTATAAATTTAAAAACGTTTAGGGATAAATTTTCAATTTATTCTTTTTTTAATATGTTTTTCTTCAATGCATTTTTTGTCGGCAAAAATCCTCAGATAATGTATTGAAATAAAAATTCTTTAGATATTGCTGTCGAAGAATTATTTGCTAAAATGAGTTATTACTACAGTAATCTGCTTGGTCGCTAGGTGGTCCAAACGACCTATGTAGGTCGCCATGCAAATTGAACGACCTGTGCATGTCGCCACTTAAGTCGCTTCTCTCTTCCGCCAACCTCACCATAACACCATCCCCTTTCCCCAACTCCAACTCCAACTCCTTTGTTTTCCCTTCTCTAGCTTCTTTTATTCTCTCCATAAAGCTTTGCAGCAATTGTTTTTCAGCTTTTGCATGCATGCATGCTTCACCATGCATTCAAGATGCCTGCAGCAGGGAGCTAATCACGTGCTGGCCATTCACGAGAGGGATTCGCCTGGAAGTGTTGGCGACATCGTTGGGAGTCGCTTGGAACGGCTGGCGACACCGTTGGGAGTCAGCTGGAAAGCTTGGCGACACCCTTTGGTATCGCATGGAAGGGATGGCGACACCACTTGTACTGTAGTATCATCCCCATTTCACGAAATAATTCTTTCGAACCATTATTTCACAAATTCTTTTTCCCAATACCATTATCTAGAAAATTTTGCCGCATTTTGTCTAAACCATAGCATTCCTTCATCAGCGTCGCACGCCCCCGTCAATAGGTTGTTCATCATCCCGTCTCCGGTCAATCTGACTTTCAAATACACTTCACAAGCATACTCGTACACTGAAACCCAAGATATTGACAGTGCAATCAAATTTGACGTGTTCTTCCACTTCAATGAGCAAAGAATACCATGCCGAAGAAAGAAAAAAAATTTACCCAAGAATTCGTTTACCGGTCAGCTTTCACCTAAGATAGAGAAAAGAAAAAGGCAACCAATCCGGAAAAAAAAAAAGAAGCTCGAGAACTTAAGAATAACCATGCCGAGGAAATATGAATGTCAACAAGAAGTAAATCTAGAAAGACTGTGTCTATGTTTCTTTTTAAAGAGCAAAAACGAAAAAAACCACAATCTCCTCCATTGATGCATTAAAGTTTAAATAGTTTGAAAAAAATAAAAGAATAACGAACAAATTAGAGTGCATCGAAATTAAAGTAGTAAAAAAAACCCTAAAGCAATACTAAGAGAAGGGATTTGATTAAATTTTATTTGAAAAAAACTCAAAGCAGCACTACTTGAATAACAAAGAAACAGAAAATTGGGCCTCATTCGTTATCGAAATTGGTCTGGTTTATGTCCATTCACACTCTGATTCATAACCAAAAGGAGCTCGAACTGGTAACTCATTAGTTCTCCAAAAGCAATCTCTGGGGTGAGGGTGGATTTGGACATGTTTACAAAGCTTCATCGATGACAATCTCATACCTGGTTTGAAGGCTCGATCTGTTGCTGTGAAGGTCCTTAATTTGGATGGCACACGGACAAAGGGAATAGCTGTTGATGAGCATTTATATGTTACCATTTCCATCCTATTCTTGGTGAATTCGTGTTGAATATAGTAAAATATGATTACTAATTCTGATATTTTTTTTTCACAGTCTGAAGTTGAAGCACCCTACTTGGTGAACTTAATTGGATATTGCTACGAGGATGGACACAGGCTTCTGGAATATGAATACATGGAATGTGGTAGCTTGGAACATCAACTATTTAAAATTTAGTTATGTTCTTCACCTTTTTTAACATTTGAATCAATATAATCTTGTTCTCAGAACTGATAACTTTATAATTCTTGCCTTTAATGCAGGATATGGTCCACCATTGTCTTGGCTAAGTAGACAGAAAATTGTTATTGGAACTGCAAAAAGCCTAGCTTTCCTCCGTGAAGAAGAAAAGCTAGTCATATATCGGGATTTCGAAGGACGAACTTTTGGTCCTAAGGATGGCAATTGGGGATTGATGTAATTCGGGAGAATACAATTCAGTAGGAAAAACCAAAATTTACTCAAATATTAGTAATCATAATATAATTGATCAGATGGACTAATAATGAAATCCATTACATTATGACACTTGGGGATATTCATGTTCATTAAATGCTATGGATCGGTTTGCCGTCAACTCGTCTCTACTTCTTTTAAGTGGTCAATCTACCAATCTTATTATTTCCCCTTCTGAGGATGCTGAGGTGTCAAAGGATTCTTTGATTTCAATATGTCCGTTGGTTATGAATTCTAATGGGTCTGATAACTTGTCTCCCCCTGGATCTCCACAAGTGCAGCCCGTCTTAGCTGATAGCATTCGTTCTGTGGGTGGCTCAGATGTTTTAGTTGTCCAGGATTCTTTTACTAATGTGGCCAATAGTTCCCAAGCTGGCCTTTTAATCGATTTTTTTCCAAGACTCTCTGGAAAATATCGATGTCTTCTCTAATAATGTTCCTAAGTCCGGTGCTGGTATCATTTTCCCTAGTACTAATTTGCATGTTGAACTTCAACCACATAAACTCCTCTTTCGCTTTCCCAATTACTACTCTAGGTCCTCTCAAGCTTCTCAAAGGCGTGTTGTTACTTAGGAGACTTGTCAAGGATCAGCTTGAGAAAAATCTTGCTCTCTCCCTTAATTTCGATGAGGTAAATCCAGCTCACACTTCGAACTCCATTCCCCTCATTCTGACTCTATGGAGGAGGCGATTGTTGTATGGGAAGTCATCAAAATTCTTGAGGTCTCCTTTAAAAGGGGAAGGGTGTGGTTTTGCAAAAAGTTTGTGAACTTGAAGAGGTATTCCACAAAGGTCTGAATTTTTTTTCGGGTTTTCCTTGGTATTAAGTTTTTCTTCGATCAATGAATCTTTCTATTATTTCTTGGAATGTAAGAGGGTTTGGTAGGTTAGAAGAAGCTAGAGCAACCCAAAATCTGACTCATTTTTATAATCCAAAGGTGGTGTTTTTTCAAGAAACAGGCTGGTCAACTTTAGCCACTCCTTGCTTGGAATGTAAAGGGGAATTTTCACTTGGAGTAGTAACAGGTCTCCCCCTAATTTTGTGCGTCTTGATTGTTTTCTTATATTCGTCGGTTTCTTAGAGGCTTTCCCCTTGTTCTCCAGAAATTACTTGCTAAGTACCTATCTGATCATAATGTGATTATACTCGTGAAGGATAACTTAAATTGGGGTCCAAAGCCCTTTAAGTGTTTTGATTACTGGTATGATGATCCAACCTTTGATGACACGGTTAAGTCGGCCTTGGTTCATCATCTAAAGCAAGGAAATCCCAGGATTGAAATTGGTAGATTACTTAAAGGGTCCAAGTTGACTATTAAGGATTGTTCTACAAAGACAGAGCATGATTTTAGGAGCTCTATCTCGTTCCTAGAAGGCAAGATTGGTGAAGTTGAAGCTATGATTATAAATGGAGACTGTAATCCTTCTCTTGTACTCGAATTAAAATCCCTCAAAGCATCTCTTTGGAGTCATTATAGGAATGAGGAGAGGGTTTGGCTTCAAAAATCCAAATTACGTTGGTTCCATAAAGGGGATAGAAATAAATATTATCTCAACTCTGGCTAGAAGAAAATTCAACTCGATAACTACTCTTACTAATGACGGCATGGTTATTTCAGATCCTTCCCTCATTAAAGCCTGTGTTTGACTTCTTCAAGAACTCTTATAACAACCCCTCTGCCATTAGTGTTGCTGATCTTTCTCTAAATTTCTCCAAGATTAATGTTGCTAGTAGAGCTGGGTATACGGGTTAAGGCCCGCGGGCTACCGTTTAACCCGCGATCCGTGCGGGCTTCGAGCCTAAAAAATTGAAGACCGTTTAAATTGCGGGCTTTTTAGCCCGGACCGTTAAACCCGCGAGTTTAATGGGTATAACCGCGGGCTACCCGCGAAACCCGCTAAAACCCGCTTAATTTAAAATTCATAAAATTTTAGATAAAATAAACTTAAAGAATTTTATAGAAAAAAAATAAATTACCTATAAATATGATGTTACTTATAACTATTGTAGTTCTTAAATTTATTAGGGCGTTAGTCATAATTTTACCGATGCTTGATATTTTTTTCATTTAAATATACATCATTATCATTTTGGTATTTAAAGATTTATTTTATTTAATTTTAACCTTTATTTTTTTTCATAAAGTATGTTATCCATTTTGTTCTTTAATTATAAAAAGTCACGTGATATTCTAATAATATATCATATGACACGTAATATTTGGATTAAAGATAAGAAAGAAAAGTAAAAGAAAAAATTGAAAATATACTTTTCAACTTTTAAAGACTTTTACAAAATAAATATATTTTAACAAATTAATGACTTATATTTTATCAATTTTAGTATAACTGTATCTTTCAAATTTACTCTTATACTGTAAGTATTTTATATATTTTCATATTATATTTTAGTCTTTCTCTAAAGTATCCATAAAATACAATTATTAGGACCACTTGACAACTTTCTTGTTAGATTTGTATAATGTTTGACTTTGTTGAATTTTTATGTTTAAATTTATGCTTTCAGAATTCAGACACTTCTGTGTCTTCATATTATAGCCTTGAATAATCTTGTTTTATAAAAGTGTAATGTGGTTATTGTTTTATTTGTTTTTCAATTTGGTGATATAAGTGAATATTGTTTTTTTTTAATTTGAGTTTAAGTAATTATATCATTATATATATATATGTATTAATGATTAAAAATTTTAAAAAAAATATTATTTTATAATCATTTCCGGCTATTTAAAATAAAAATTAAAAATTATTTATTATTTTGACGGTGCTACATTCATTTTCAAGTTGTTCGATTATTTTTAAAGGTGTAGTAAGTTAAAACATTATTTTTTATTACATTTAAAACATTTAAAATTATTTTTATTAAACGGGCCGCGGGTAAACCTGTTTAGCCCGCAGGTTAAATGGACGGGCCATAGGCCTTAAAATTCAAAACCGTTTATGAATGTGGACTTTTTAGCCTGCTCCGTTTAAACCCGCATCGTCAAAACCCGCGGACTAAATGAGCGGGTAGCCCGTATACCCACCTCTAATTGCTAGGAACCTTGCTCTTGAAAGTAAATTCTGTGAGGAGAAAGTTTGGTCGGCAATCTGTTCCTACGACAGCAGTCGAGCCCCAGGTCCTGATGGATTCAACATCGATTTCTTTAAAAAAATTCTGACCCCAACTGAAAAATGACATCTTAATTTTCTTTGATGATTCCTATCTCTGCCATAAATTAGATGAAGGTTTATTCCACTCTTTCATCACCCTTGTTCCAAAAAAACTAGGATCGTCGGCTATTGAGGATTATCGCCCTATTAGTTTGATGGGCGGGGTTTATAATATTCTAGCCAAGGTACTTACAAACCAACATCGTTTATGTGCGGATATCATCATCAGTAAATCACAGTTTGTATTTATTCTTGGGAGGCAGATCCTTGATTGTTCGTTAATAACTAATGAAGCTATTAATTTCATCTTCAAACAGGGTCATAGTGGGATTATCTTTAAGATTGACTTCGGGAAGGTTTTCGACTCCGTAAACTGGGAGTTCCTTATCTTGGTTCTTAAGAAAATGGGTTTCGGCAATCGTGCCAGTGAATTCACAATTGCCTTACATTAGCATCCATATTAGTTATGGTAATTAGGAGTCCTACAACAAGTTTCAAAATTTCGAACGAGCTTCACCAAGGCTGCCCCTCCTCTTTAATATTATTGGTGAGGCTTTAAATTTGATGTTAAACAAAGCGGCTCAAAATGGCGTTTTCTCTGGATTTTCGATTGGTTACGGCACATTCTCTCTTTGTACCTCTCACCTACAATTCACCGACGACTTGATCATTTTCTGCGATGCCTCCCATAGCCAAGTTCCCAATATTAAGAGAGTTCTACGAATATTTGAACTGGCCTCGGGGCTCAACCTTAATCTAAAAGAATGCAGGCTATTTGGTATTAATGTCGAAGTAGTTCTACTCTCTAGTTGGACTTCATCTTTAGGTTGCTCCATTGGCTCTTTTCCTTCAGACTACGTAGGTCTTCTTCTCGATCCTATGAGGAACTCCAAAGCTTTGTGGGAGCCAGTAATTAGTAAATTTTCTTCAAGGTTAACAAGTTGGAAATCCAAAATCTTATCTATGGGTGGGAGATTGATTAAATCTGTTCTGACCAGTTTACTTGTTTACTTCCCATCACTTTTTCGGATCCCGGCTTCTGTCCATCGTGTTCTTAACAGTTTAATGTCAAATTTTTTCTGGGGCAACTTTTTGGACTCTAAGAAAATTCACTAACCTTAAAATTTGTTCTCCTGTTCAAAACAGTGGCCTTGGTGTCATTGATGTAGAATTAAAAAAATAGAGTGCTCATTGGTAAATAGTTTTGGCGTTTTGGTAATGAGCATGACAGCTTATGGAAGCAAGTTATGGTTAAAAAACTTCAGTCTGACAGTAGGGTTCTCTTGCCTCCTCCAAGATTTAGATCTTGCTCATAGATTTGGAATAATATCTCCAAGTCTGTCTCTCGATCGATCCTCTTGGCTCCTGTTTGCGTCAAAATTTCTCGATACAAGTTGGTGGTGGTGCTTTCATCTCCTTTTAGGGGACATATGGTTATGTGACGTCCCCTTGAAAGTCTGCTTCCCTCGTATCTTTTCCCTCTCCACTGTCAAGGAAGGTAAAGTCGCTGATTTCGGCTCTAAGATTGATAATGTATGATCCTGGAATATACCCCTTAGAAGAAACCTATTCGATTGGGAGTTATCTCAGTGGACTGATCTCTTTGGTCTCTACTTCATAGGTTTAAATGCAACTTAAATAACAAGGATTGGCTTCTTTGAAATTTTTTTCCTAATGGGGTACTTTCTACTAGTTCGCTTATTTCTTTGTGTTTGGATACTCCGGATACTGAGTTTTGTTGGAAGAATTTTATGTGGTTGGCTTTTGCCCCACCAGAAGTCGAAATTTTTGTGT